GCCACAACACCTCCAGGTATGTTGAAGTTCATGCTTATTTGACCCCTCCCCATTTTTTCCATATTAGTTTCTTCTTCGATTAGATCTTGTAAGGCTTCGAACGTGTTATTGAGAACTATCTTGAACTCATTGAGCTTGTCAGCATCTCGAAGGAAGGCTCCATTATATCTTTGTAATTCTGTTTATACAGTTGTTCAGTGCTTCTTCAGCTTCAGTTTTATCTTGACAATCACCGTGTGGTGACCTGAAACTATATCAGTTCCTTTCTTTGTGCTTTCGTTTTCTGTGGACCTTCTAAAATTTTTATTGACGCGAATGTGATCAATCTGGTTTCCTGTAGTGTGGTCCGGTGAAACTCATGTAATTTTATGTATGCCTTAATGCAGAAATATGGTGCCACCTATAGCCATTTTGTTGAATGCACATAAATTTGCGAATCCCTCACCATTCTCTTTTCCTCCCCTCAGTCAATTTAGTCCCATGATATCTTCGTATCCGATCTGTCGATTCTGATTTTGGTGTTTAAGTCTCTCACCAGGATGGGCAGGTCCTTTCCTGGGCACTTTGTTACAATCGACTGCAGCCTCTCATAAAACTGATATCTTTCATCTCTATTGCTATCATTGGTGGGTGCATAGTACAAGATATCATTGATCGTAATCTCCTTCTTTTCTTTGAAGATTCTGCAATCATGAGATTCCCATCCTATAAGTGCATTACGTGCTTCTTTGGACAGCATCAGAGCAACTTCCTACGTATGTGGAGCATTTCCTTCATGACCAGTGTACAACAGTAGCGCTCCTGAAGCTAATCTTTTCTGTCTAGCTTTGGTTTTGTTATAATCTCTTTCTTACGGTTATGACCCAGCTATTCCTATCGCTTAGTATTCTTGGACACTAAATCACTCAACAAGACCCCAAATCAGAAAACGGTTGAACAGGAAAGAGATTATATTCCAAATAACAAGGTTAGATGGAAGTAAGATGCAAGCACAACAGGGAAAAACGTCAGTATATTTATGGTTTTTACATGAGAAGATTCTAGAGTATTCTCCAACTATCGACTGGCGCTCATTGGATAAGAATTAGCCAATCAGCGTGCCCCAAAGCAATCGTGCATTGAGCATGCTTTAATCTAGTTTATGTCCCGCTAACAGGTTTAATGGGTTTAACTTATCCCAAGCACCACCAGGTTATTTTTTTCTGCAGCTACTTGAATATTCTTTCTGACCTCTCATATAGTGCGGATATTCTAAATACCTGTGTTAATTATTGCTCTGGTTGTCAGAAGAGGCATCGACCTCGTGATTTTTGAAAAATCTCAGCTTTCACCTTGAGACATCATAATTCTTCTAAATGAAGACCCGTTAACACTCAGGACAGATTTCAAATGATTTAAATAATTTTTTGGTTGGCGTCTTTTTAGCAAGATTGCTTCTTACAGGATGGGGTTGCTAACCAAATGCCCAACCCTCCTCCTCTATCCCAGGTTCAGACCGGCAGTAGCCCTAGATGGGCTACAGGTAGAGTTATTGTTATAGTAATAGTAAAATAAAGAAAAATACATTGTCACCTTTAAGCCTGAACTGAATTTAACATGTTTTGAACTAGTTCACAAGTGGACTTCCAAAATACCTATAATCACAACTGAAATACGTTGTACTGGGGAAATAACCAAGCATCCAACCACAAGAACGCAACTGTTAAACTTGATGAAAATCCATTTATCGTTAATGATACAGTGGTATAACATTGGGTCTTATTTGACTTACAGTGCTATATACTATTGATTTATCAGAAGGGTTTTGTCGATATTATAGTAGCTTCAATTGACTCATGATCTCAACCATTGAAATTATTGATTTATCATTGATAGGGTAGGGTCTATGATTAAAACGAATTCATTTTCAATAAACAAAGTTTTTAAGAGTATTTTAAAATAGATGGGTTGTGGTTGCTTGTGGAATGCAGGACGCATTTGACCGCTCAACATTTTGTTCAGTGAGTCAGCATTCAACGGTCTATATTTCTAACTTCAATTGATTAGCGTTATTGAGCAATTATCTTCGAATACCATTAGTAGGTAAGTGCCTCCTGTACAGCATAGTTGAACAATGACCACAGCTTCGCCAACAGAACCCTGAGGATTACCTTTGGAAATCAGCCACTAGTTAGTACATGGTTTCTATTACTGTCAGGTGTTTGTTTTGCTTTCAAGTGATCAACTAGTAATCAACTGAATAATTCATTTTTGCCGTGAAAAATCACCGTAAAACGAACCTTAAGCGTGGTTGGGCACTGCTGACGAGTTTTATACTAGGACGAAAGGGATGCTGAATGATTTTTTGTTTCCAGCGCTTATTTAACTAGGGTCGATTCGCAATTTAAACAATGAAACTCAACAATCTACGCAAGCCTCTTAAGCCAATAAAGAACATAATTCGGAAAGAAACCCCCTTCATCTTCGCCTGCACGAACACCAGTTAGCAACCAAACACCATGACATATCCTCGCTTATATCGATGCATGTGGACAACTTTGGGTGTACCCCAAGCTGGAAAAATGTTAAGGTCTTAGATAGAGGGATTACAAAAGGCACCAGGGAATTTTCAGAAGCTCGGGATTCAGATCGATCAGCAGTCAACAAACACATCAAAATCGACCCAATCTATCAAATAATCAGGAAAATCAGGGACAAAGAATCAGATCAACGAGAGATACAATCGAGGTAAAGAGGTAAACAATGACAGGTTAAAGATCAACAAAAACCAGTCAAGATCGAGGTCGACAGAACAAGCTGTGAGCGTAGAAGTTCGAACAATTCACTTCTACCCGACATTTGTGGTGATGTTGTTCAGAAGAACAATGAAAATTGTATGACCAAACCATCCAGCTCAGAGAACAAAATTCCACCTAAATAAATCTAAAGTACCCAACAGTAACCTATGTGCAGCACTCTTGGTTAATGATAGGCAGATGGATATCATATCTGTACCACAAGTTGAAAAAGGTTTATCAGGCTTTATGAATCTCCATCAAGATGTCATCAGCAACTGACTTAACAAGGATGATGCAACTTTAACATTAACACGTCAGACTTTACTCTATACGACTAGACTAGTCGGTAAATTTGAAGTATACTGGTGAACAACATTAAGGTCATAATCCGTTTGGCCACTCAGGAGACAGAAAAGGTAAGTGAACGACTTACAGTCCGAGGACACACGATTAGGATAAAGATTTCAGGATTCTTACATAACAAATAATGTTAGTTCGTCATGGAAATCCCAACCCTGATTCTCAACACAAACTTCTAACCCTATTTTGATATTTGTGTAATAGCTTTGAAGATGCTTTCTCGATCCTCATTGGTATGGCAGTATACTTTGGGGTTAACCAAATAGTCATGGATGCGGATTAGTTCTGAAACGACATTTTAGATTTAGATTATGAGGGCCGCATCTTAAACATTTTTGTGTTATCGCTCAAGATATTCAGACTATATTTTAATCAGAATCTTTATCAAACACTTCTGTGTCATCTGAATACTTCAAATCACATAAAGGAACTCCAGGTAAAAGAATAATCCTTTAGAAGTCAAACAATAAAAAATTTACTTCTAAGGGTATACCTACAGTGAAATTGAATAATAACGAATAAAGACGTCTTTAATTCTCGTAGAAATCCCATCACTACTTGTCCTGAAGATAATTCTCAGGTTGCTTTATCAACTAATGAGAAAACTTGACCTCAGTGAATTCAAACAAATAATACTGTGTCCTAAGAAACTTATCTGATATAATGTAGTCACTTAAACAGATTATTTAACAAACCACGTTTCCCAGTGATGTTAAATGATGCATTAGCTATTTAATTTGTAATGAGTACTTCGGGTCTACCCAATTAATTGTACGCTACATGAAGATGGGATTCGACTGTGAATTAAGTGCATGAGTAGCATTAGAAGTATGGTGAATGTCAGTTCCCAGTTGCCCACATTGTGGAAGGATACTTATTCTTTAAGGGACTGAAAAAGAAACTGAGTAAGAAGTAACTCTAAAGCCCTGGGGACAGCTCCTTAAAACCACACATAGTTGGTTTGTCAGTATTTTTTCATATGTTGGCTGCATATCTTTCAGGCCTGACCAGTAGTAATGGACACCTATGAAACAAGATGAGATGTGCTATTTGACGGGTCGTCCTTTTCTAACCACACTATTTCGTTGCAAGAACGAAATATCACTGTCGATGCTGGTTATTTTGTGTTAATACCTTACTTCCATCAAATTGCTGTACAACCATCAGTATTCACTTTGCCCTCTGACTTTGAGCTAGCTGCTTTTAGTTTTATTATTCTCCAACCAACCTACATGGTGTGGCAGGACCTGAACACACAAGTGTTCCAATTAATATAGTACAATTGGGTTATCACGAAATACAAGGCCAGCCACCCCGCCAGGGTTGTACGCCACACAAATATAACTAATTCAACGAACAACAAAGATTCCACAATTACATTTTAGAAAAGTTTTTTATTATACACAATGTACGGTTTGAAAAGTCTCTATATGTCATTAAACTATTTAAAATAATTTAAAAAATAATGCCATTTCTGATTCTTTCAGAAAAATTACAACAGGATGGAAGCAAGGAACATTTAATAGGAGAGGAATGTGAAATGATTGCGCGATTGCTTCTTTCCAAATACGAGTTTATTTAATAGGATGAAGACTATGTTAAAACATACACGTTATTTTCCGTCTAAATACAATCGAAGTTAGTAAACAGCAAATAATAACACAGTCATACGGTTGTAAAAAGAAAAACAAACACATGAGGTAATGTTTGTTTGTGTCGATGTTTTATGTGATAACTTTGTAATAAACACACAAAAACCGAACAAATGCTTGAATGGAAAGTATTAACAAGATGACAAAAAGGCAGGCAAGAGAAAAAATTTGGAATATAAGCAGTTTCCTCTTTTTTTATATATTCAATTTTCTAAGCATCTTTAGAATTAAATTTATCTTCACTTGATGCAACACTATCTGAACGATTTGAACTTAGGATTTCTGTATTAAGATTGTTTAATTCGTGAATAACTGGAGTATTTGATCGACTGAATGAAAATTTCTTAATTTTGGATCCTAAACGGTGAAATGATGATCCTACTGAAGTAATTAATGTATCAGGATGTAAATGTGGACTCTGTTGATCAGGTGTTAAAGAGTGCAGTGAAGGAGAAAAATTTAAATTACCTTCTTTTGTAGCTTCAGCTACTTCCAATGATCCAATAAAAGCTGTATGTGACGGTTTACGTTGACGAGTAGGTGGTAATTCAGGCCAAGGTGATTCATTATCCATAGGTGATTCAAAAGTATGAGGTGTTGATAGATCATTTTCATCATACGAATAAGGTGACAGAAAACTGCCTCTTCGACTAACACCATCTTTTGACTTTGTACTAATTCTCCTTTGACGACTACCAGGGATATTAAGTCGACTATAATAATCTGAATCACTGACAGCAGTACCATCAGTATGATCATCATCATCAGTTTCAATATCGATTTTACAACCAGATTTGACTAATTCAGGAATTAAATTCGAATCGGAAATACATGTATCTACAAAATATAAACTTGTATTTAAATTCCTTTCCAACAATGGAACAACTTCAAAATCATCATCATCTAAACCGAACGGTGAAACAAGTGACTCAGCTACCTTAAGCCAGCCATTGTAAAAAATAAAAGAAAGAATTGTGAATACTGGAATATTTGGTAATACTCTAGGAAATGATAAACCACTATTGATATTTGTATTATTGGCAGGGTTGTTGAGAATAACACTGCTGACATCATTATTATTGCTGACAGATGTTAAATTAGATGAATTGACTCTGGTTGGCATATGCGGTAGGATTGAAGGGGCATCAATAAACTGATGACCGAAAATTGTAACAGCAAAGTAAATGTACACAGCCAGCGCTACAACCTGTGAAAAATGGAAGTGAAAATTCGCAAAATCTACAAATTAATGTTAAACCATGAGTTTACTCTCAAATAAGAATATTAGTAAAAAAAAATAAACAACCAATACCAACATAATTTTATGGTTTGTATCACGAACTGCTCTTAGATAACCATTGAAAACCGAAAAGCAATCGACAACTGTTTCGTCCTAGCATATGAACTCTCAGCAGTGAGCATTCACAAGCCAAACAACGATTGAACCCAGAACCTTTAGGTCTCGTGGTGAGCACTTAACCCTTAGACCATTTGGTTGGCAATCGATTATTTTCATTATTAAATTTGGTCAATGCGCAATATAATTTTCCTCACTATTTGCGTCTAACACGATCTGTAGATTATGAAACATATGACAAAAGCCATCTACTCAGTGTAAGAAGACATAGATTGGTAAAGTTTGGGAAGTATACATAGCGTACATAAGTTAATATATCATATAAAGCTTAATGACAAATATCTCCTGTGTCAGAATATCAACGATTCAGTAGGGTTAGTAATAATAAATGAGAAGAATACATTATTACATTAATCTTGAAATTAAAAACTTATCACAAATTTAAATATTTGTTCGAACAATTGAAAAACAGTGAAAAGATAACATAATCTCTAGAGTTAACAGTAATTCGTCCGTCTGATGGCTCAAGAACGAATATAATGAACAGAAGTTTGCCTTCTTTGATTTAATGCCTGCAAGAAGGAGCCTTTAAAAATGGAGGATATTTGTAGATCACTAGTATTCCACTGTAGGTATCTTTGAAGCATCGCTCGTATATAATGGTACCATAGAGTTGGTAATTCTGGGGTTAGACGCAGGCTACCATGTAACGATGGAAACTGATAAGTGAGGTAGTGAATCGTCATTGACTGAGGTAGTCAGGACATGTATTACATATACCCGATCACCGCCTACCTCGATTGGAGATGGTGGTTTGTTTAGGGGTAAGTTGGAGGAGAGCTGGGAAGCTAGAATAAAAGGTGGCATCAGTCTACGAAGTTGGAATGATACGTGTAAGTGCAGACTACTCAAAGGAGATCTGCGCGATAACCGCGATCAGTGGTTGGAAACTTTGGGTGACATGACTTAAAACCATTTGTAATTGTACAGGTACATTCACTCTCGGTCTTTCCTGAGATCCTAAGTTTTTTTATTAGCTTAAAAGCTTCTTTCTTTTTATTCTAAGGATACACAATTTCTTCTAGAGTTATTTGGTCTATGTCAAATGTTTTCTACCGCCACTAATAGTATTACTAATTATTCTACTCTGGCATCTCGCTAACCTGGTTTGGCAACTTGAACCGCTGCACATATGTGCTAGGTTTTACGTCAGATATGACTGAATGACTAAATTTCCAAAGAATCGATATTTCCTAATGAGTTAACCCTTTATTATAACAAAGTTAGAATACAGTATGATATGTAGATATCCATATAGTAACTTATCTTGGTCAGTTCTTTCAAACAACTTACCAAAACCTTTTGGTCTACGAAACATTCGAAGTGTCTAAAGAGTATAAATTCTGGCATTACAAGTTATACAGGACTATGCACAACCAACCTTATTGACTAATCTGATTTATAGCTAATAAATACATAAGCAGTTGGTACTGGGTCGTTCGCATTTCATGTTTATATCTCCTTTCGTTTGATTTCCAAAAGTTAAATTTGCAGAGTATAACAACTTTTGATCCTAAACATAATTAAAATTCACTTAAACTATTACTCAATAGATTTTCGTTCCTTACTGACTTTCCATTCGCCTTTATGTAGTATTATATGTAAATCTATATAAGCTTTCACATAAAATCATGTTTGTTCTAATAATGATCAGTCGTACTGCATATGATATTTGCTTTCTAGCAACTGAATGTTGAAGAATTTCTATAAAGTTGATAAGCCGTTATTGTCATCCAATCAGTTAGTCATAATCGACGTACAACGTGAAACATGTGTATCCAATTGAATCGCTAAGCAACAACTTACCTCACCAAAGCAAAATGAAAGTAACTGGATGAATGACAGAATAGCTAACAGGATAGTTGCGCTGATTATAACAAAAAATTCTAAACTTTAGAGAGCATGATTCGAAATGAGTTTGCAGAATAAAAAACGAGACATGACATTGAAAATTAAGATTTAAGGAAAGATAATGAGTGGATGAATTTGTTTAACCGGGTTCGATTTTAAACTGGGTCACCTAAAAATATGAAACAATCAATCACGATTATTCCATGGATCCAAATCAGGTTGTCTACAATTATCAACACAGTCCCAGTACCCATTCTCGACGATAAACTATTGAAAATAGTTGAGAGATTTGTGTATTTTGGTAGATCCGTGGATGGTGGTAACAAATAAAGTCACAGATATACAATTTGGGTTACCTTTGTTGCTGTCCTGATATTATTTTGGTTGATAAATTTCGATTGTTCAACACTGCCTAGCGCGACAGATTAAACTTCAATCTCTTAAGACCTAGCCTCTGCACATTAAGGGTTTTCGATTGATATGTTTGACTGATATTGGTGTGATAGCACCTCTCGTTTGGTGGTAACATTACATAATTATTAAAGACTTAGTGATTAACAAAATGGATACTGCCACAAATGCGTGTTAGACAAATTTTTCATGCATCACCATGACGAGATAAAATTAAAGAAATGAGTACCAAAAAATAAGAAATAATAGTGATGACAATGGTAGTGAGAAAAAAATAAACATTAGGGAATATGGTTTGAAAAGAAGAGAAGAAAAAACAGGAAGTGAGAAATAATACTGTAGATCGAGACCTATAGGAAAATAAAGAGTGAATGCATTTGCACTAATGTAACCAACATTGGACATATGTTACTCAACATCCACTGACGTTATTATCCTGGGCATCTGAATCTGTAGACCGAAAGTTTCTGAGGCAGTGTCTGTCATTGAAAGGCGTACCTCAAAAGTACATAAACCTTGTGAACACTCTTTACTCAAACACTAACAGTCGAGTCAGAACTTATGGCGAACTGTCATCTGCTTTCGCAACCTCAAGTGGTGTCCTTCAAGGCTGTCCACTTTCTCCATTTTTGTTTAACTTCATCATAGACCTATTGATGGAAATAACAATCTCGTCTACTGAATTCTCGGGTATTGATCTCCTTCCAGAAGATCCACTTATCGACTTAGGATACGCAGATAATATAGTTCTGTTTGGTGAAGACGCTGATAAAATGCAATCTTTTGGTAGCACTCAGCAACAATGCCAGGATATTTGGGATGTGTTTCTACCCCTCTAAATGCAAGTAGTTGCTTCAGGACTGGTCTGCATCAGCACCTGAACTAAGGATAGGGAGTGAAGTGGTCGAACGCGTAGACAACGTCACTTATCTTGGAAGTCTGATCAGCCCTAATGGGTTGGTGTCTGACGAAATCTCAGCACGGATTCGGAAAGCTCGTTCGGCTTTTGCCGACTTACGTCACCTATGGCGAAGGCGAGATATCTGTCTATCAATTAAGAGACGAGTATACTGCGCAGCAGTTCGTTTTGTTCTACTTTACGGCTGCGAAACGTGGCCACTAAGAATAGAAGATACTCGTATGTTACTAATATTTGATCACAGATGTCTTAGAAATATTGCTCGTATCTGCTGGGATCACCGGGTAAGTAATAGTGAGATTAGACAGACACAGGGTATTAGGGAATGATGGTAAATCAGTTGGAGGTTGTGTATCTTCATCGACTAAAGTGGTTGGGTCACGCGTTACGTATGCCTGAACACCGATTACCACGGCGTGCAATGTTGACTAGTGTCGGAGACGGTTGGGAGAAAGTTAGGGGCGGCCATACCAAAATGTGGCATCAGTCCATAAAGTCATAAACTTCTAGCCTAAGCCATGTTGTAGATGCAGACTACGTGGTCGGGTTCCGTGCGACTATCGTAAACAATTACTGGGAACTCTGGGTGATATGGCTCAGAATCGATCACAATGGCGTAGGTGTATACACTGCTTGTCTTCCCTTAAATCGTGAGATTAAAATTACTTTATACCATTCTTTCTACCAACTAATTCTTTCTTCCTGTATTATATCCTTATACACAATCTTTCTTTTATACATTGCTACCATTGAAGTAACTAATTCTATGGATTCGGTGATCGTCTTGTTGTGTTAATGAAGCAACTTAGACCGATTCATATATGTTCCTGGTCCTACGTTGTAACTGGCTGACTATCCTGGCCAAAAGCAGCTGGTCTAGATTTACCTACACAAGTCAGTTCAATAACCGATTCCATTTCTTTATTTGGCCGTTCCTAGCTTTCTTACAACTTATTCCTCATCCAGTCAACGCTGTTTAATGACAAACACTACTATACAATCTCTCGGTGTACGGGGTTGAATGCTCTCTTCAAATAATTACGAGCTTTACGAAGAATATTTAGGAAAAAACACCGCAACTCAACTTTAGTAAACAGTAATAAGAAGCCCTATGGATAAAAAAATATTTCTTAGATATTTTTCGCTTTAACTAGAATCTTTATTATTATTATTATTATTATTATTATTATTATTATTATTATTATTATTATTATTATTATTGTACCCGATTTCCTTATAAGTGTTATTTCACTACTTTAAGGACATCTGTTTATGGTGTATAAATCCTTCGATTAAATGTGACAATTTAGTACACTAATTTTTACTTCGTTTCTGAGTTGTCTACCATTTCAGGCTTTATATGTGTGAAGCCGTAACCTATGAATTTTAAACAATGGTTCATAAGTTAAAAGTCCACCCTACCTACTTCTGTTTAGGAAGTCAAGAAGTATTACTAACTCACATATAAGCAGTTTGACTTAAAGGTAGAGACCCACTATAACAAACCCAAGTACTACGTGCAGAT